TGTTTTGCAAGAATTTTTTAATATATATATTCTTCTTCTGCATTTTAGGCTGAGTCATTAGGTTGCTTTCATAAATTCAAAATAGAATTTAATTCAGGAGATTCCAAGACATTGCAATAAAGTGATTTTATTTGTTTTAAACCATACTTGGAGAAGTTTTAATGTGTGTTTGAGATCATAGTTTTGTTGAAGTTTTGATGTGTGTTTGAGATCATAGTTTTGTTGAAGTATCTAGTGTAGAACTATTAATACAGAAAATAACAATTTATCATCAAGAATTTTCTGTTATTACTTAAATGTAATAGAGTGGTCTAACTCCAAAAAATCCGCTAAAACCATCAAGCTTTTGCCACCTCCTTATTTTATGGTTTCTATAGTACGCTTTATAATACTCACTATAAATCTTTCGTTATCCAAGTTTTGTTGTACAGTATTTTCTAAAATACTTAGATGAGATTCAATAAATATCTCATGCACTATCAAAGGAAGAAATCTATCATTCAATGGAGTTCAAAGGTTATCTTCTCTTGGATTTAAAAGAAAGTCCAAAGGTTATCTTTTTTAAAGACTAGTCACACAAAAAACATAACTTATTAGTCTTTAGAGAAAAGTAAAAGCCTTAACAAAATTTTGATAAATATTTAAAATAAATTGTTATGAATTTTTGATTTGGTAAGTAAAAGAATTGTTTTCTTAAGAACATATTCTTTAATTTGATCAAATAAAAACAATAAACAATTAAACATAAATAATTAAACAAATAAAAACAATAAACGATTAAACATAAAATGAGTAAAATGAGTAAAATCTGATTTTGAATATAAAAACAATTTTTAATTGCTAGGAATCTAAATAACATATGATTTCTATATTTGATAAGGTTATAAATGCTGCACTGCATAATAAACAATTTTTGAGCTAAAATTTAATAGTTTTTTGGTAGCAAAAAAACGATACCATTTTAATAAAAAAACAACATATTTTTATTAAAATGGTATGGTTTATGTCAGTAATTAATATGGAAGTATATTGCCCTCCTAAATAAAGATGGACCTCCTCAGATTTTGATGAAACTTGGTGGATTGGTTTATATCAATGAGAAAAGCAATTCCTGAAAATTTCAGCTTAAAATCTTTTGTGGTTCATGAGATATCGCTATTTGAAATTTCTGATTTTTCCAAAAATTAAAACTTTGTTAGCAAAAACATGCTGTGTTCATACTTTGAAGCTCTGTATTTTAAAAACGAAAATTCAAAAAAACCTTCTAGTTTTTTTATTATATACAATTGTAGGCTTACTTTGTTAAAACCTTGACATTTAATTTTTTAATGTCACATTTTATCCATAATGGCTGCCTAAAAAACCTTAAAAATTGTTTGCAGATATAAAAAGTTGATTTTGGATGGGTCAATATACAAAATTAGCAACTTGAGAAGTGAAAATACATATCTTTTTAGCTTCTAAATATGGTAGGCTTCCTATTATTTAAAAACTTGCTGATAAGATCCAATTCAGTAAGAAATAATGGATTCCTAAAAATGGTTCTGGGTAAAACTTTAAAAATTGTGCCTTTCCTTTAAACCACCTGTAACCTAGAATCAACACTGATATTCAGAATTTTTTTTTTTTTTTTACTGATTTAACAGACTTTATTAAAGTGATTTAAAAAAAAATTAGTGGATACTCACGGGGAAGTGACAAAGTCAGAGCAATGAAGTTAGCACAAAATGCATTAAAAACGAAAAAAATATAGTTATTAATGTACTTTAGTTGTCATTATCTACTGCAATGCAAAAAATAAATATATATATAAATATATACCATAATCATTACTAGAAATAAGCTATAAACTAAGACTGAATTAAACTCAGTTTTTAAATAGCCTTAGTTGCCTCCCCCTCCCCCTGTCCATTTACTTTTTAACATGCATATTTTTGCACAGAACATTCTTAACATAAGAAGAACTTTTTTCTTGATTAATTTTATTAATTAGTTATTGAACATTTCACCATAAGCATTGTGTCATATAAAAGCTGTGACATTTAATTTGTAAAGTTAGTAAATGGAGCATATATAAAAGTTGCACATAAGGTAAATAATGAAAATAAAGATTTATTGGTTTATTCTTATCATCTGCCCACACATTTTTGCTTTCATATCACTTATTTTCTTACTATTTCATATTCTGACTATAAGTTTGTATAATTTTTCCCAAAGCATTCGTTATTCTGCCCTTCCCAATTTATTTGATTATCATCATTTAATTTTAGGTTACAGATTATACCAAGTGATAAGAGTTATTTGATTTGTCATCACAATGCACAAGTTTATTATGTAATATATATTATGTAAATGTTATTATTTAATAAAAAATCAATATGAAAATTAAATCATTCAAATTTGCTTTGATTAATAAAAAATTTGGATTGATCAAATTAATAACAATTTTGCAATGTTGATTTATAATTTTGTTATTATAAATACTATTGTACAAATGTAGTATTTCAGTTTTTTCATTAGCTGATAGTTCATAGCATCTACCAGTTGCTGATTGCACTTTTAAAGATGAAATTTTGCATAGAACATGCATAATTGGAACCCAGCAAATATCTTCTCTATGTGGCCAAGTAAAAGTGTTTGAGGAAATAGACTGCTTTGTGAACTTTCCAAGGATATCTTGATTTTCTTCAGATATTTCCACAATATTACCTAAAACCATTTTTCATCATAAACGCATGCTATATAAATTCCTGGTAGAAGAGAGGCAAGGAATCGTCTAGTTCTGCTGCATTGTTGAAATATTTATATTAGTAAACACATTGTCAAACGACAACTGTCTCATCTGTAAAGTTGTTAATGATTTTGGTTTAAAACAATGGTTGTTTCTTGTTCCTGGAATTGTTGAACAAGTAGCATAACGTTTTTCTAATTTAAAATTTATGCAATGTAATGTAACTGCATCATTTGAAATGTATTAAAAATGTATTCCTATAATATTTTGTCTACACCAATCATACATTTTCTCAGATGAATTGATTGGATCAGTTAGTGATTGTAAACTTGTCCTTGTTACAAGTCTTTTGACAGTGCCCCTAACACCATCACAAGCACTCTTTCCATGCAATGTAGCAAAAAAATGCCATTCTGCTTATACCTTATGATCTTGTTCACGGTGACTTAAGTCAGATATGTTTTAATAATTTTTGTATTGTGAGCTTGCACCATCACTGAAATAAATGCAATGGTTGAAGTAGGGTATCAACTCTTTTAAATGTTTTAATACTTCATGAATGAAACAATGAAATGAGTTTGTATTGTGTTGCAAAAAAATCTGTGAAACCTTCAATAACAAATTTCTTATAAGATTCTGTGGTTAAGGTTCTGTGCAAAAATATGTATGTTAAAAAGTAAATGGACAGGGGGAGGGGGAGGCAACTAAGGCTATTTAAAAACTGAGTTTAATTCAGTCTTAGTTTATAGCTTATTTCTAGTAATGATTATGGTATATATTTATATATATATTTATTTTTTGCATTGCAGTAGATAATGACAACTAAAGTGCATCAATAACTATATTTTTTTTGTTTTTAATGCATTTTGTGCTAACTTCATTGCTCTGACTTTGTCACTTCCCCGTGAGTATCCACTAATTTTTTTTTAAATCACTTTAATAAAGTCTGTTAAATCAGTAAAAAAAAAAAAAAAATTCTGAATATCAGTGTTGATCCTAGGTTACAGGTGGTTTAAAGGAAAGGGACAATTTTTAAAGTTTTACCCAGAACCATTTTTAGGAATCCATTATTTCTTACTGAATTGGATCTTATCAGCAAGTTTTTAAATAATAGGAAGCCTACCATATTTAGAAGCTAAAAAGATATGTATTTTCACTTCTCAAGTTGCTAATTTTGTATATTGACCCATCCAAAATCAACTTTTTATATCTGCAAACAATTTTTAAGGTTTTTTAGGCAGCCATTATGGATAAAATGTGACATTAAAAAATTGAATGTCAAGGTTTTAACAAAGTAAGCCTACAATTGTATATAATAAAAAAACTAGAAGGTTTTTTTGAATTTTCGTTTTTAAAATACAGAGCTTCAAAGTATGAACACAGCATGTTTTTGCTAACAAAGTTTTAATTTTTGGAAAAATCAGAAATTTCAAATAGCGATATCTCATGAACCACAAAAGATTTTAAGCTGAAATTTTCAGGAATTGTTTTTCTCATTGATATAAACCAATCCACCAAGTTTCATCAAAATCTGGGGGGGGGGGGGTCCATGTTGGAATCCCAAAATTTCAGTCCATTTGGCATGGAATGACTCAGATATAAAATGACAGTTATGAGAAAAATTTGTACATTTTATGTGAGCCTTGTTTGTTATACCAACCCTGTGTTTGACTTCTTGATATAATACAATGTTTGATGTAATAATCCTAATTTTCGATATTTTGCAAGTATTGCATTTTTTATTTTTTTATTGCAATTTTTGTGGACTATATTTACATCGTTGTTGTGGATTATATTCACATCGTTGTTGTGGATTATATTCACATCGTTGCTGTGGACTATATTCACATCGTTGTTGTGGACTATATTCACAACATATATTTTCTTGACAAATATTGTCCATATATTGACTATAGTCCACAACTCTATTGTTGTTGTAGACTATTTTCATAACACTACTGTTGTTGTAGACTAAATTCACAACACTCTTGTTGTTGTAGACTAAATTCACAACACTCTTGTTGTTGTGGACTATGTTCACAACACTATTGTTGTTGTGGACTATATTCACAATAACAACAGTCTCTTTTTTTTGTGTGTCAATTTATGATTATAAACAGACAAAAAAAGGTATTTGGAATGTTTTGTATAATATCTTTAAATAAATAGTAAATAAATAAAAAATATATGATTATTAGAAATTACAAGATTAATGTAAGCAGGCTTTTCTATATTATTAATTTTTTTTTGTACAGTATAATATTTTTAGACGATTGTTGGAGATTTTGTACGAGAAAATGAAAAATTTATTCAGCAAAATGAAGACCGTAGAATAGGTTTAATATTTTGTTTTTTGTTTTTATATGTCCAATGTTTATTTATCAGTTATTGTTATATTATTATTACCTATATATAATAATAAATTTTTAGTTTTAATACTTTTAATAAAATTTTATTTTTAATACTTATTGTTATTGTTATATAATAATAATAAGAAGAATAATTTTAAAAATTGAGAAACATGCCTATCATAACAAACATTGAGTCAAGCTAAAAATTAGTTTATCTTTGCAGTACAATGACTTTTAACGTCTCAGATTGAAAAATAGTTCCAACTATTAAGAGTTATTTTTTAGGACATACTTCTGTTTTAATATTGTTATTAAAAAAAAAAAAATTATTAATAGAATTTTTGATGAATTTTTATTATTACTGTGATATTAATATTGAATAGTAGGTTCTCTTATACAATGATAAAATTTTCTGTCATTAGATCTAATCATTTTTTTAAAAGTCATAATTCTAGTGGGTAAAAAATAACTTTTAATTCTCTAAAGAATAGCAGAAAAGCATAATTTTTTGCATTTTTCTTTCAATTGATCTCTTGGCTTTAGTAATTAATTGTTTTTTATATATATATATATATATATATATATATATATATATATATATATATATATATATATATATATATATATATATATATATATATATATATATATATATATATATATATATATATATATATATATATATATATATTAGGGTGTATCACCACATTAGGGCAAAAAATTAGTTTTTATTTTTGAGCTGTCTGTGTTTCCAATGTGTTCCAATGTGAATAATAATAACTTGAGTGAAATATTTTAGTAAAAATAGTAAGTTTAGAGGTCCCTCATGAGAATTTGAAATCCAGGAAACCAACCGCAAGACACAAAGTCGATCGACTAGTAAGTTTTTTCATAAAATTCAATACTTATTGTCCTTTAATGAGAATAATGACTATAGTAATAAACCTAAATTGTTTTAATTGTATAATGAAGGCAACTGAACAGATAAAACCAAATTGAGATCACTAAAATCATTTTCTATTCAATTTTTTCTACAAAAAGCACAAAATCATTAACCAAAAAATGCAAAAATCATTGACTACTATGACTAATAGTTAGTTTTTTTTTTTAATAAAATTCAATCCTCATTGCAGTTTAAGGTCTAATTAATGACTAATTAACTATAGTAATGAATCTTTATTTGTTTTAATAGTAGTAGAAAGATGTCAAATGAATCCAAAATTAGATATACTGTTAATGTTTATTCCTTCTTGCATCATTTGCGTCGCAAATTTTTTATATGTCCAATGTTTATTTATCAGTTATTGTTATATTATTATTACCTATATATAATAATAAATTTTTAGTTTTAATACTTTTAATAAAATTTTATTTTTAATACTTATTGTTATTGTTATATAATAATAATAATAAGAATAATTTTAAAAATTGAGAAACATGCCTATCATAACAAACTTTGAGTCAAGCTAAAAATTAGTTTATCTTTGCAGTACAATGACTTTTAACGTCTCAGATTGAAAAATAGTTCCAACTATTAAGAGTTATTTTTTAGGACATACTTCTGTTTTAATATTGTTATTAAAAAAAAAAAAATTATTAATAGAATTTTTGATGAATTTTTATTATTACTGTGATATTAATATTGAATAGTAGGTTCTCTTATACAATGATAAAATTTTCTGTCATTAGATCTAATCATTTTTTTAAAAGTCATAATTCTAGTGGGTAAAAAATAACTTTTAATTCTCTAAAGAATAGCAGAAAAGCATAATTTTTTGCATTTTTCTTTCAATTGATCTCTTGGCTTTAGTAATTAATTGTTTTTTGGCATTCTTGTGAAATGTGTTGATCATTTTGATAAAAGAGTAAAATAATTATAAAAAAGAAATTTGTGTGTATTTTTAATGATAAAATGAGAAATAACTTAAAAAAAGTCTTATTAAAAGAAAAGAAATAATCCTTTTTTAATAATTTTTTTCTTGTAATAACGTTGTTTTTGCATAAATGGTTCTTTTTAAAACCATCTTTTTGTTTATTATGTCCTAGTAGTCATGCATGTAGATAATTTTGCAATTTTTATTGCATTGATTTTTTTATTACAAGTGATATGTTATAGGTGATGCTGTTGCACCTTGGTGTGGATACCATGAAGAAGAATTACTCAAAAGACAAATTATGGCTCTATCTTCAGTTAGTTACTATTTTAGTGTTTTTCTTTTAGTATATTTTATTGTTAAAAATGTTAAAAAATTATTTAATAATTTTTATTGTTAGATACTTAAATTAAAGAGATTGCTCAGCTCATTGTGAGAAATATTATTAAATATTTAATAAAATATTTAATAATAAATACAGTAATATATTTAATAATATATTGTTTAAAAAATTTATATATTGATAATATAGATATATTAGCAGAAAGATGTTCTCATGCATACTCTAACAGTGAGTGCCACTGACTTGAAAAATCTGACACATTTTAACTATTTGCACATTTTAAATGGGTGTCAAAACAATGTAATAAATAAGTATTCAAGTAGCCATCTGTGAATATATATATATATATATATATATATATATATATATATATATATATATATATATATATATATATATATATATATTAGGGTGTATCACCACATTAAGGCAAAAAATTAGTTTTTATTTTTGAGCTGTCTGTGTTTCCAATGTGTTCCAATGTGAATAATAATAACTTGAGTGAAATATTTTAGTAAAAATAGTAAGTTTAGAGGTCCCTCATGAGAATTTGAAATCCAGGAAACCAACCGCAAGACACAAAGTCGATCGACTAGTAAGTTTTTTCATAAAATTCAATACTTATTGTCCTTTAATGAGAATAATGACTATAGTAATAAACCTAAATTGTTTTAATTGTATAATGAAGGCAACTGAACAGATAAAACCAAATTGAGATCACTAAAATCATTTTCTATTCAATTTTTTCTACAAAAAGCACAAAATCATTAACCAAAAAATGCAAAAATCATTGACTACTATGACTAATAGTTAGTTTTTTTTTTAATAAAATTCAATCCTCATTGCAGTTTAAGGTCTAATTAATGACTAATTAACTATAGTAATGAATCTTTATTTGTTTTAATAGTAGTAGAAAGATGTCAAATGAATCCAAAATTAGATATACTGTTAATGTTTATTCCTTCTTGCATCATTTGCGTCGCAAATTTGGTGACTCTTTCCGATCTTTCTCTACCACTTGAAGAACGTTTTGATAATGCTCATCCGATCGTGCAGTTTCAACAAAGTCCATTGCCAGCTTGACACCCCTCTCGGCACAATCATTCACCACGTTCACTGCTGCACAATTTTCAACACTGGGAATGTAAGCAGGTGTCTTTTCCCATTCATTGACCAAAAGTTCCAGAAAGCTGGTGTCTAATTGTAGATGGTAAACTGTAAACCAGGAGTCAACTCCAACCAGTTCACTCAGTTGTGTTCTATGATCAATGGACAATGGAAAATGTGGCTTGCCCCATCCGTTGCCAAATCGATTCATTGGAGCTTACAGATCACTTGATGGTTTCAATTTGAGCAAGGCATCTGCAAGAGCTCGTCGTTCGGTTGATGGTACAAGCTTACTGAACAGTGCAAGTGGCACCATTTCCTCAGTGAGATACCACAGGTGCCGATTCAGAGCTCGAATTGCTGACTGCGAAATCACCTTGTCCACAGTCTCGTACTCTAGTAAACGTTTGTAAAGCTGTAAATCATTGTATAGGGAATCAACCGTGTTCCTACATGTGAGCCACCACACACTGTAAACATGAGTAATAAACGTAGTGAATGCTTGTATCTTCGGCACTTGGTGACAAGTAGTGATAGTTCCTGCTGGTAGTTCCGCAATATGTTTCTCTAGAAGTGCAATTTTCAGGCCGTTGATCAGCTTTGCCATCCAACGAGCCTTGTGAAGAGCACCTGGCCTTCGGAATTTTACTTCAACCTTGGAAGAAGATAAATAAACAAGTGTGAGCTCTGTGAATTCACGGTAGTCATCACGCAGGCAATCTACATCTTCAATTGCATGAGCGATCACCTCATCCTTCATCTTCGACAGCAGCTGTTGGGCCTCCATGTCATGATCAGTTGGACAAAATGGCAGTATCTGAGATGAGTCGTGTGGCACTAAATTTCAGTTACTTCGTAGCCTTGTGAACACTGTGACTTCTGGTGACTTTGATGCTTCTATCTTGAGGTCAGTAAACACGTGAGATAGAAGTACTTCACCAATGTGATGACGACATCCTGACCAGAGGACAGCACATTCCAGCTTATCTTGAATGGCAATGCAAGCTGCAGTTAGGTGACCTGTATTTGAGCTCGTTGTGTCGAATGTCATATTAACAATTCGATCATTACAATGCCACTCGATCATTAGATTCATTGTTAGCTTGGCAATGATTTCTCCAACAGATTGATCTGTACCCTTGAAGTAACTAGGCACTCCCAGTAGCTTCAACTGCAATGCATCACCAACAACCACCGTCATACATTCTTCAGTGACACGATTATTTGTTAGAGTTGGTGTCAGCTTTCCATCCCAATGCAGAGTACAGAGTTTTGGTGGTTCCCAGCTATTGTGAATTTCTATAGAAATTTCGCGTACAACCTTGCGTCGTGCGCGATCTGCAGTTGCATACGAAGAAGCAACCATAGATACATCACCACCAGACTCAGCTATGACTCCTTGTGTGAATGCAGGTTGTTGTGTTGGCGTCATCTTCAGACGTGTTGCTAATGACACATGGTTTGGTCGGCTTAGCAAATCTGGTGGTATGAATGACAATGTTCCTTTCGGTTTTATACGGTTTGGTTTTTGTAGCTCCATTTCTTTTGATGGAGATCTAAATTCTGATTCCATGTCATCTTCAGAAGCAGACTTGCTTGACTCATCACTACATTCGTCAGTTACAACTTCTGGCAACACAGTCTTGGTTGATGCTTCAATCTCACCACGAGCACGCTTCAGGCGTCCTAATGCTGCAACATCACGACAATGACGCCGATTTATCTTCTGAGCAAGCGCCTTGTCAAATATTCCAAAACTTGCGGCTCTATCAGTTTTCATTGACTGCAGGAATGCAAGATCTTCATCATTGTTCATAAGACTATCCACGTTGGCCGGCCAGAGTTGGAAAGTTGTTGCCAATGTGGACTGCATCTCAAGAAGCTTGTGCTGAGTTGCAGGTGTTTCACGGCGACTTTTATCGATCGAACGAAGTTTATTGTTATCATCAAGAAGTTTCACTATTTTTTCGCATGCTCTACGCTCGGTGACCATTGGGATGTTGGCTTTTTCATACAAAGCTTTAACCTGTTTCAGAACTATCTTGGCAGATGTGAATCTTGATGTTGCACCAAGTGATCCTGGTCACTTACCATGGGTAGCCTCTTTACTTTGATACATCATGCATCTCAAAACTTGCAAGCAGGTTGGCAATTGGATACCAGTGATTAGTGCATCATCAGCACAGATTGCAGCACCTATACCAAACAACTCTGTAGCTCTACGAGTCTGTGGCTTCTTTTTTGAGTTCAAGACAGGAGTATTTCGGCGACTTGCACTACCAGATGATGACGAATTATCGTCAAATTTGGGCTGCTTAGGTGTTGTTGGCTCAACTTCAGCTTCAACTGCTTCATTCATGTTTTTTAAGGAATTAGGGTTTTAAAAAAAGAGAACAGTGTTGTAACTGTTGTTATTAAGTTATGAACTTGGTTTATCAAATTAGCAAATTATTTGAATATTTTGTGTAATTTATTATTCATTTTTTGGAATATTATTTGAATTATTATTTATTGGATTGCACAACATTACAGATATTTCACATTGCTTAGGTAATGCCTAACGTGTCTCATAAGTTTAACTATATATATACAGTATACATTATACAATTATAGTATCTACATAAACAATGAATTACTGATTTACTGCATGTAATATGTATATACACAAAATAATGCAGAAATTAATATATTTAATGGAATTGTAAATTTACCAATTGTCACTGGACTGGGTTAACTAATATATAATTAAATTTTATTTTGATTTTTTGAGCAGACTTGACTATGTTTATAAAATTACATTTTCAATCATGGTAGCCAAAGAACATAAATATAAAGACAAAGCTAATAATTATAAAAAAATTATTTAGCACTTAATTTTGGTAAATAAGGTGAAACTTGTTAGGGCTTGGGGGACCTCTAAATATTGTCTAATAAAATTTATTTTTTAACACATTGCATCTTTTGGTGATTGGAACAACTTGAGATAATAGACATATCAATATAAAAAAATTTTTTTGTGATGCACCCTAATATATATATATATATATATATATATATATATATATATATATATATATATATATATATATATATATATATATATATATATATATATATATATATATATATATATATATATATATATATATATATAGTATATATATATATATATATATATATATATATATATATATATATATGTATATATATATATATATATATATATATATATATGTATATATATATATATATATATACATATATATATATAAATATATATATATATATATATATATATATATATATATATATATTATATATATATATATATATTTATATATATATATATATATATATATATATATATATATATATATATATATATATATATTATATATATATATATATATATATATATATATATATATATATATATATTCTGAACAAATTATTTTGAAAATACAACAACAAAACAAATGTTTTAATAAAATTCTTAGTAAAAAAATTAAAATGTAAAGGAAAAAATAAATGTTTCAAATATATTCTTAATTAAATAATGCAAACAATAATGCTTTTTCCAAATTTCCTAAAACAATGTCTAAAATAAAATGGCAAAATAAATGTTCAATTTAAATTCCAATTCCAAACTTTTTATTTAAATGGTTATCTTCTAAAGCTTGTTTAGATGAGCATTTGCTCACTATTTTTGCTTATCTTTATAGCATATCGCGCTTTTAGAAAAAGGAGAAAAAATCGAAGAATAATGAAAGAAAAGATTGCTGCCTCATGCCAAATCCTCATTAGATGTAGTAGCACTCTGCTGTGAGTCAGGCTATTTGTCAGTCAATATATGTCCTGAAGCCCCCAGAAGCAGGCTATTTAAGTTTGATTTCAGAGTACATCTAAACTAGCAATTTAAGTTATATATATATATATATATATATATATATATATATATATATATATATATATATATATATATATATATATATATATATATATATATATATATATATATATATATATATATAAATTTAAATGTTTTGTATATATATATATATATATATATATATATATATATATATAAATATATATATATATATATATATATATATATATATATATATATATATATTTAGTTTTTTGTTGTTTTTAAATGAAATAAAAGGATGAGCGGAACTTTTTGCGTGATCCTCCATCTGGTGTTGAGTATTCATTTGAAATAAATCACATGATGCCCACTGCTATGGCTACATTAAAGGAAGATAAAGAACTTGAATTGATGCGTTTTAAGCTTGTTCCTAAAAGGTTTTTTTTTATGAAAGTTTATTACATGAAACTAGATTGTTATTATTTTATTCTTTTGTTTAATTTTAATTTGATTGTTATTGGTTGATTTTTTTTTCTGTTTATTACAAATTTGTGATTTGTGCTTTAGATTATAAACAAACTGATTTTAAACTACTAAAATTAGATTAAAATAAATTTAACATGATTTGAGTTAGTTTCTTTTTGATAATCATTTTTATTTTAGTAACAAATTTTTTTTTGAGAACATTTAAATGTAGAGAGTTGTTTAGAAATTACTGTTACTATGTTACTATGTTACTAATTAATTAGTAAAGGTGATTATTTCTTAACAAAAATTATTTCTTAACAAAAATGGAAAATAAATTGTGCAATTGATTTATAATTATTTGATCAAAAATGCAAATATTTCACTAAGTTAGAATAAGGAAATTGTTTTTTTTTTCCTATACAAGTTTAAGGTAAAAACAGATGTTTCCTGTTGGCTTTGTTCAACTTGTTCATTTTGTAGATTGATGTTTATGTAAACTTGTATACATTTTTTTCTGTCCAGGACACACTGGATCTTCTTGACTTAATTTATAGATTCTAACTAGTGTCTCTTTGTTGTTAGTGAGTATGTAATTCTTTCTGTTATCCTTTAATGAGGGTACATCTCTAAAACTCAGGTTATTGACTCGAAGATCAGCTGAGAGTTATATATCTTGATTTCTGTAGTAACTCTCAGAGAGACTTCATCAACAGCTTCAAAATATCAAAGTATTAACATAAGCAGGAATGCCTCCAATGTTATTTTGCATATAAGAGGTATTCCTGGTGGTACTTCTGATGAGTATTGTTATGACCACATTTGATAACATGGTTTACTAACATGGATGATTTGTTATGAATTTTCTGAGTATTCTTTTGCTTTTTAGTTTTGTTCTACAGAAAAATTAAATTCAGTAAAGCATTTATTAAATAGTTTAGAGAGAATTTAAGAGAGTTCTAAAGAACACTTTTGTAAGAGTGTTTTTTAGAACTCTTAAAATGACAGTAATGTTGTCTGGACCACAAGCTGTATGTGAGTTAAATAGAGATATGACTTTAGCAACAGATGTTAGAGCAATTTGAATGTCTAACAAGGGGTTAACCCGTTTAACTGCAATTAAAGGAAAAGTATCATAAGATTCAAGAGTAGAATTATAATAAAAGCTCTTTACAAATAGTTCTGCATAATATCCTTGGGAGAGGTAATAAGATCATTCCCATAAATTATCCTTGGGAGAGGTAATAAGATCATTCCCATAAATTATCCTTGGGAGAGGTAATAAGATCATTCCCATAAATTATCCTTGGGAGAGGTAATAAGATCATTCCCATAAATTATCCTTGGGAGAGGTAATAAGATCATTCCCATAAATTATCCTTGGGAGAGGTAATAAGATCATTCCCATAAATTATCCTTGGGAGAGGTAATAAGATCATTCCCATAAATTATCCTTGGGAGAGGTAATAAGATCATTCCCATAAATTATCCTTGGGAGAGGTAATAAGATCATTCCCATAAATTATCCTTGGGAGAGGTAATAAGATCATTCCCATAAATTAGAGATAGAATATTAGACTTTTGTTAATGTCTCTGTTGAAGATGACTTTCTAGTACACAAGTACTGGTTGCTGGCAGTTTAGAAGTGAATTTATTAAAAAATATATATTTTTTTTAATCAACTTTTAAAAATTTGAAAATGAATTTTGATTTGTTACATGTTTATTTTATATTTAGGATAAAAGAAGAAAAGTTCTGGAGAAATTACTTTTATCGAGTCTCTTTAATTAAACAGTCAACACAATTATCAACATTGGCAGATTTAGGTATGTAAACTAACAGATTTAATATTTGTAGTAGACAAAAGATAAATTTATTATGAAATTAACTTTTTCTAAATTTTAGAGCTCAAAAAATCTCCTCGTAGTTCTTCATCTGAATCTCTACAAAACAAAGGTAAGAACAAATGTGAAAATAAAAATCCAGTTTATTTGATATTAATTTTTATCTCCAATTATTTTTATATTAAAATTTTAAGGTAACCTAATTTTACTAAACTTGACTATATATACTAAACTAATACATAATGTTCATAAGAAACCAATATATATACTAAATATAAACTATATATACTAAACTACAAGCAGACTAAGTTAATCAAAATGTAACAAAAGTTTACAATGCAAATGTAAAGGGACAAGAGCATAAATAGGTTTGACTTATAAATGAAAATTGATATTCTTACAAATTTGCACTAGAATGTCAAAAAGTAAAAACAAATAATTTTTTAATAAATCTAAACAATCTAATCTAAAATGTTTATTTTATTGATATGCATGTGTATTCAAGCAGAACTGAAATAATTCAAATAAACTTTATAAGGCTTTTAATTTTAAATATGTTAAATAAAATTTTAAGTTAAGAAGGCCTTGAATTGCATTTGAAGGACAAAACAAAAGGAATTTCAAATTTTCAATAGAATGTGAAAAAGTAAAAACAAATGAAAACTTTGATTCATGCCACGCAAAAATGCTGCCTTGACAAATGCTAAAATAAAAGAACTTCATAATGTGAAATGTAATGTTGATAAAACCAAGTGTTGTTTGAGATCTGAAAATTTATTAGAAAGATGTCCTGCAATGAAATCTTTTATTATTATAAAGAATCGAAAAGCATACATGAAATTTGCTTATAAACATATGCACTGGGCAGGAGACTAATGGTCAAAAGTAGTTTGTAATAATGAATCCAAGTTTATGTTATTTGGATCTGATGGTATTAGATATGTTTAGCATCAAAAAGACCAAAGAAATGACCCTGAATACCAGCAACCAACAGTAAAGCATGGAGGTAAAAGCGTCATGGTTTGGGGTTACTTCAATAGATTTTGTCAGTCTTATTCACTTGATTGATAACATAACAAATACAAATATGTACAAGGATATCATTAAGGATGTTATGCTGCCACATGCTAAAACAAAATGCCTCGAGGATCGGCATTTCAGCTAGACAATCACTCAAAGTACACTTTAACTCTAGTGAAGATATTTTTCAAGTCTAAAAAAGTTGATTAATGGAATAACCTTCGCAAAGTTAAGTTAAAGTTTTTGAAAACCAACATGTAGACAAAATTTATTTAAAATTCTGAAACAAGAACAAAAAAAAATAATGTTTATTGGTAAGATTTATTAAATTTGTTTGTTTTTACTTTGATATAAATTTTTTGACATTCAAGTGAAAATTTAAACGAAATTTGACTTATTTAAAAGTTATGTAGATTAATGTTCTTGTCCGCTTACTTTTACACACTACTGTGCGTGCATATAAATTTTTTTTCAAAATACGGTATGAGCAATTTTGATTTTATGTGCTGCTTTTGATATTATTTAATTAAAAAAATAATTAGCGCATGAAAGTTCACTTTGTAAATATTTTTCAGTTTATTTATAATTAGTAACTTTTAAAGTGTTTTTTTTTACAAAATTATTCCTTAATATTAGTTGTGTTATTTTTAAAGTTACTAAAGTTATATTTTAAATTGGCACATAGAAATAAAATTACTCTCACCGCATTTTAAAAAAAAGCTCTTATATATATATATATATATATATATATATATATATATATATATATATATATATATATATATATATATATATATATATATATATATGTATATATATGTATATGTATATAATATATATGTAATCTATTTCATAGTCTTACCAGTCAAATGTGTGGACCAGGAACAAGAACATGATCATGCGGAGTATGATTCTGCTAATAGTCCAGTTAATCATGAATTTCTTAGTGACATTTATGACGGTCACGATGGCCAATGTAAGATTCTTTTTTTATTATTCTTTTTTAAACTATTATTTGTTAGATGTTTGTATACAATGCTAAGAAGGATTCACTATTAAATTCACTCTAAATTAACTGCCAGGTTGAAGCACTTTTTTTCCCACTTTGAATTTCTTGCATTTAATCAATCATATGCATTAGTAAACACAAACTAAGTTGTCAGAAAAACTTGAAATATATGCTGAGTATGTATATTTTTAAAATTAAATTATATTTTTAGGCTTTTTTTCTTCCTAAGTTTTATTAAAGTCAGCCATTATGGTCGCCAAAATAGGCTATTTACAGATGCTCCTTTTCAGATATAACTATCACTTCCAAAAATGGAATTAGGTTTCAAATTATGTACTTGTCACTTTGCTTAATAAATAAAGATATCAGATCAAAGTCTTTAACACCAAATATATTTAACAAAATATCAGTTTCTTTTAAAGAGCAACTATGAGTAGTTCAGTTTTTTGTCGCTTTCTCAAAATCAATTTAGTTGGACTTTAGTGCGTTTTGCAAGGTAAAAATCGTTTAGTTTTAATATATAAATATATAAGCTCTGCTTTAATTTATAAAGTACTTTTGTATTTTAGATAGATAGAAATACTATTAGGTAATTAGAAATACTATTATTTTTAATAAATGTAAGAGAAAATCTGTGGGCTCTACTATATAAATCTTGATATAATAATGTTATGATTTTATAATTGAAATAAGATTAATTGAAATATGATTCTATTTATGTAACATAACAGTTTGATTCAACGTATTGTTTTTTTTATCTAATTTTAAGTTAATATGAAAATAATTTTAAATTTCTCACTATTAATTTTAGGTAGATGAGTTTCTTATGATTGTTTCAAAGTAAAACTATAAACAATATCATAGATATTAGTGAATCGCTAGGATATAAAACTGTAAACAATATCATAGATACTAGTGAATCACTAGGATATAAAAACAATATCATAGATAATAGTGAATCACTAGGATATAAAAACAATAGATATTAGTGAATCACTAGGATATAAAAATGTAAACAATATCATAGATATTAGTGAATCACTAGGATATAAAAACAATAGATATAAGTGAATCACTAGGATATTAGTGAATCACTAGGATATAAAAACAATAGATATTAGTGAATCACTAGGATATTAGTGAATCACTAGGATATCTGTAAACAATAGATATTATTGAATTATTAGGATATTAGTGAATCACTAGGATATTAGTGAATCACTAGGAAATAAAACTGTAAACAATAGATATTAGTGAATCACTAGGATATAAAACTGTAAACAATAGATATTAGTGAATCACTAGGATATAAAAATGAAGAGCAAGTAACATTATTGGATTATTAAAATGTAAAGATGTAAATTATATGGATTGTTAAAATGGAAGATGAAACGCGAAAACATTTTATATGGGTTGTTGTCTACAGGTGGAAATCTTCTCTCTTTTATAGCTGGAGTAAATTAAGTCAAAAAAAAAGAAAGTAAATCAAATTTAATTCCAAACTATTATAGAGCTATCAAATGTATTAGAGCTCTCTAAGAACAAAACAAACAAAAAATTGTTTTACTTTACACAGTAATCTAATTGGTGTAGGGTCAAATATTAATATTAAAATAACTGAATTCCAGGATACACTAGATACTTTATATGAATGTAAAACAGAGAAACTTTATATGAATATAAAACAGAGGAACTCATTGATGATAGTCAAATAGTTGTTAGACAGTCGTTAGTTGTTAGTTTATGTTAAGAATACAGCTGAATTTATAAAATTTAATATTGAGGAAAGAGGTATTGGTATCCTTAATGCAATAATGAGACCATCTATAGATGGTTGTCAAAATTTCTTGAAAATTATCATTAATGCTTTTGATCCAAAATATCATTATTCTTCATCTAAAATATATGAAGATTCTGGTTTGAAACATTATATTCTTGTCATTATGGAGATAATTTCAGAGAATAATCTCTAAAAATTATTGTCACCTTTGAAACTTGAAGAAGTCAATTTTAGTTTGGGCATTGGATATAAAATGTGCAAACAGTGTTTTTGGAATCTCAAGCCATTCTGGTAAATGTGCTTGTCTGTATTTTGAAGGCTCAAATAGTGCTCCTTCATAGTAGCAAAACTAAGAACATTGGGCTCCATAGGTTTATGTTACAACCAATATGTATGTGATGGAAAAAAAGATTAAAAATGGAGGAATACAAAAATGTTTCAAATCTTTGTTTAATATACTTAGAAGAAGATCAAAACGCATTTCCAGAATTTATATTAGTATTTAGTGTGGTTGAAAACACACTACATATTAATGAGAGGGTACCATGGAGTAAATTTAAATGGAAGCAATATTAATAGATTTATTTTTATTAATAGATATCTTTGTTAGATGTTTTAAAGAGGGGTGTTATCTTGTTACAATGATTGATATTTTATTGATTATTAGTTTTTTGCAAAAGAGAAATTAGCAATGTTTGATTCATAAATGAGTGCAGATATTTCTGTTAAAATTGAAAACTTCAAACATTTATTTTTTAGTCCCCAGTTTAGAATACAATAATATTAGCTCATTGTAGAATACAATAATATTAGCTTAAGAAACTATGCAGAACAATGTGGAGAAGCTATTTATCTCAAATTTAAAAAAACTTGTATGAACTATAAAAGAATCAAAAGACACAAAAATTATGGAGTTAAAATCTGCTGAGTGAATTTCAATTTAAACAATCAGTAGCATTAATATAATTTGTGATATATTTATTTGTTATATGTCATTTATCCAAACAACAAACAACATGACAAAGATAAAAGTATAAACAATATAATTGTATCGGTATATTACTAACGTCAATCCACTTTAATTACAAAAACATATTAAAATAATAAACTTCAAGATAATGACAGCAAAAAATTATATATAGGAAAACGTCTTGAAAATAAAACTCCCAGATAAGGTTGGATAAATTATTTTAAAGTAACGGTCGCCATTTTCATTAGAAAAACTCTCTACCAGTAAATGAAATTAATATATGTTGATGAAATTGTAAATGAAATTAATATATGTTGATGGCTTATTTTGACTACCATAATGGTTGACTTTATTAAATCTTTAAGAGCTGAAATAGGTATTTAATAAAACTTAAGGAAAAATAAAGCAAGTTTTAATTTTGAAAATATACTTAGCAGTTAGTTTAGATTTTTCTGACAACTTAAATTATGTTTACTAATGCATATGATTGATTGAAAAAATCAAGAGAGGGTAGAGTTTCAACCTGGTAATCAATTTTGAGAACAGTGGAATAGGAAGTTTCAGGATATGAATTCAAGGTTCAGTTTTTTTGTTGTTTTTATTTTAAAAGCTTTACACTTAATATTTTGTAAACCTTTTCATTAAATTTTTAAATTTAAAATTCGTTAAAATGAGTTTAAATTAATAATCTCTGAGCCTCTGCAATTCAATTTTTTTGAACTATGAATTGTAAAAAGCAAAAGAGTTTAGATAAAAGAATCTGATCAAAAATTGTTTTTTAGGTGTTTCAACTCAAATGGTTTATGAAAAAATCAACAAAATAATTTTATTTTAAAATTATTATACAAAAGTGTCAATGACATTATTTTTATATTGCTTTAATATTTGTGCTATAAAAATATAGTTACACTCTTATATAAAGAAATAATTGCATGTATATATATTTATATATATATACAAGCCTTCCCAGGAAAGGCATGTGGTTTTTTGTCTTGTATGACCACGCGAGAGTATTTTATTTTAGACAACTTGATCACGGCCATTTGCAAGTTTTATAATATTAATCATGACGGAAAAAGTTTTAAAAACAAAAAAAGCAAAACTATCAAATAAGAAATAAAAAGAAATTTAAATAGAAAAAAATAAAAACAAATTAATAATTTAAATAATTTATGTCCTGTTTTTATTTTTGTTTCTTTAGAGTAGTTGTTACATTCAGCAACAAAATTAGATAAAGTGAAGTATAAAAAAAAGTTTTAAGTCTACAATAAAAAAATTGATTTTCCTTTATTTAACTTTTTTTAAAAAGGAAAACGAAAATATAAATTGCAATGTATTTGTAAAATATATTTATATAACAACAAGAGTTGAACTAAGCGATCGCAAAATGCAAAATCTGTAAAAGTATCTGGTCTTTAAAATTTTAGTTTATACAAAAACATGTTCTTTGTTTTCAAGAGGCGAATCAACTTTAATTTGTTAGCGAAAAATATATAAAAAATAAAACAATAAACTTACCAATACAAAAGTAATAACACTCTAGTGGCTAACTGCATTCTAAAAGTAATAACACTATAATAGTGTTATTACTTTTATAACGCACTTATTGCTTTTATAATTCATTCTTTGTTATAAGATAAGTTCTCCCAAATTTTAATTGAAGTAGAAAAGCATCTAGAAACATATAGTGGATATCCAAATAATATTTAAAACTTAAGCAAATTATAAAAACGTAAACGTAACTTTATCAAAAGTTTAGCATTATTAAAAACGTTACTAATGATATGTATAAACACGCGTTAATTTTCAAATCAACCAATAAAAAAATTTTATTAGTTGATTTTAAAGTTAAACGCCTTTATACAGACTATTAGTGGCGTTTTTCATAATGCTTAACTTTTTATTAAGTGCGTTTTTATAAAGTTGTTTAAGTGATTTGTAAAAATTCCTCAAGCTCTTAATATTTGAATATCCCCTTTTTTTTTCTAGATGCTTTTCTACTTTAATTATTGTTTGGAACTATTAATGTTGTTTGAAGAAAGTACACAGCTTTGCATCAACTAAAATTTTGAAGATCAGGTTTTTTCTAGGGTTTGTAAATCGCGATCGCTAAATTTAACCCTTGATATATACTTGTTAGATTAAAATTGTTACAAATATATTTTACAAACAGATTTATATTTTTGCTTTCCCTTTTTAAAAAAACAAAATATAGGAAAATCATTCTTTTTAATGTTTAAAACTTTTTTTTTTGCTTTGACTTAACAAATTTTGTTGCCAAAATTAATAACCACTATGAAGAAACAAAAATAAAAACAATTTATTTAAATTATTGTTATTATTATTTTCTATTTAAGTTTATTTTAAATTCCTATTTTCTTATTTTGTTTTTAAAACTTTTGTCAGCAACGCTGACAAAAGTTTTAAAAACATGCAAACCGCCATGACCAAGTTGTCTAAAATAAAATACTCACGCGGTCATACAAGACGAAAAACTGTACTCTTTTCCTGGGAAGGCTTGATATATATAATTTAGTCTGATTGTAATATATATTTTTCCACAGGTCTAAGTGAAGAAGAAAAAAGTCAAATGTTAGGTGATATAAAAGAAGATGTAAAAACTGATGATTGGGATGTTGAAAAAGAATTACAAGAAGAGCTTGAAGTAAATTGTTTTTTATTTGAAATTAGGTTTTATATTGTGGTCAAATAACAGCTAATGTTGAGCCCATTGTTACAACTTTGGGTCGATTAACAGGAAGGAGACAACCCCATAGCTTATTGTTTAAGGTGTGCACTATCAATGACTGAATTTATTTCTCTATTAATTTAAAAGATGAATAAAATGCATAACAATATTAAATAATAAAAACCATCATTACCATTAAATTGTAAAGCAAATTAAATTGTAAAGCAAATTAAAAAAATCTTTTCAAATATTAGTGGTTTTAAAGTACATTTTCATCTGTTTATACTTAGCTTTTGCAAAATTTATCTGACCTACTTGCTCTTTATGGATCAGTTGTATCTGCAACATAAATATCTGAAATTGTTGTTGTTACACCACTTCTGCTTCATTATTTACATGCTACTTCCTTTAATATTCATGGTTAAAGATCATGATCATGAAGCAAATCTAAGCAGCTAGTTAAGCTGTTCATGTGGATATCTAGTAATATTCCACTATTGTCAATTCTATTAGGAAGATTATATCCAAGGCGTAAGAAATTAATCATTTTGATTTTATTTTCATTTTGATCAATTAAATGGGTAACTATTATATGGTTAACAGAAAATTATATCTAATGACTCTTTATTGATAAAACATTGTGTAATGTGATTTAAAATGATTTGTCAAGTGATTTTCTATTAATTTTTTTATTGCTCTGATCTTTTTCAATCAAACCATTCAACCTGCCACGCACTGATAATCATTCAACCTGCCACGCACTGATAACCATTCAACCTGCCACGCACTGATAACCATTCTACCTGCCACACACTGATAACCATTCTACCTGCCACGCACTGATAACCATTCTACCTGCCACGCACTGATAATCATTCTACCTGCCACGCACTGATAAGTATAACTGAAAAAATTAGAAAAGCTCTTGATACTGGTCATTTTACTTGTGGTGTTTTTATCAATTTATAAAAAGCTTTCGATACCGTTGATCATAGCATTTTGATTTCTAAGTTAGAACATTATGGAATTCGTGGAGTTGTAAGTGGTTGGTTTTAAACTTATCTTTTGGATCGGAAACAATATGTAAGTATTAATGGTTATACTTCTAATAACAAACCTGTTATGTGTGGTGTTCCTCAAGGTTTCGTTCTTGGTCCTTTTTTTTTTTTTAATTTCCATTAATGATCTAAACAACTCTGTTCACTTCTTGTTGGTTCATCTATTTGCAGATAATACCAATCTCTTGCATGTCAACAAATCATACTATTCTCTATGTAAAAATATAAATTTGGATCTTAAAGGTATAGTTCATTAAATGCAAACCTAATATGTCTTAACACCAAAAAGACTGAATTTTTTTTTCATCTCCTAGAAAAAACTGTAACAACGACAGAAAAAACTGTAACAACCTTGAAATTAAAATCAAAATAAATAATAAACAACTATATCCCTTGAGAGTTATTAAATATCTTGGTGTGTTAATTGATTGCAATCTTTCATGGAACTTCCATATCCATGAGCTGCGTAAGAAACTTAATCGTGCAAATGGTATGCTTTCAGTAATTTGACATTATGTCAATAAAGTTACTCTTTTAAATATTTACTATGCATTATTTTCATCTCATCTTAGTTATTGTTGTCAAGTTTGAGGTCAAACTGGCAACTATCATATTAACAAACTAATGTCATCTCAATGCCAATCTATTAGAATAATAAACTTTCAACCTTTCAAATCAGATCTTCTTTTTGTTTTTAACTCTCTAAATAAAAATTTACCTTCTATCTCAAACTTTTTTATTGAAAGTAGACTGATTCAGACACACTCTATGCAAAATATAAATAGTGGAAAACTATATGCCAAATATAATTAGATAGAAAAAAAATATTGTACCATCATATAAAACTCAAAAGTATGGTAAGAATTCTGTTTTGTATCGGTGCATCTGTGAATGGAACAAAAGCCTTGTGTGCATTGTGAATGAGTTAAAAGAGTTTTGAGTTGGAGTTATAAACTCCAACTCAAAACTCCTTTGTCATCTTTTCTTAATCATAATTAAAATCAATTAAAAAAAATTCTGAAAAATATTTTGTTCATATAATAATTATAATTATCCTTATTTTTATAACTATAATAATTATCCTTATTTTTTTGTTTGTTTTTCTTTTCTCTTTTATTATTACCTACATATATGATTTTTAAAAAGTTTACTTTATGTGTGTCTATGTTTTATGTCTATATGTTTATTATTAGTCGTATTATTTTGAAAAATGGTGCCACTCCTTTGATCAGACTTCTGTATGAGTGACACCATCCATACTAATCATTAACTTATGATAATAAGAAATAACATATCATTTTACTTATTATTATTATAGTAATTAATTTTTATTTTTATTTTTTTGTTATTATAATTATTATTGTTATAAATTATTACTATTGCTTATTATTTTATAATTATTATTGTTATTATTATTTACCTCATTATTAAAAAAATGATTTTAAAATGGAAAATAAATAGCTTTTTGATTGTTGTTGTTGTTTGAAGAACAGAACAATAAAAATTTAGTTATAATAAATTTATGTATATATATATATATATATATATATATATATATATATATATATATATATATATATATATATATATATATATATATATATATATATATATATATATATATATATATATATATATATATATATATATATATATATATATATAATATATATATATATATATATATATATATATATATATGATAATTATAATATAGTAATATTTTGTTACTATTATATTATAATAGTAACAAAATAGATTTAATTAAATTAATATAGTTACTCAATAACTTATAATATGAAGTAATATTTTTAGTGGATAACATTTTTTTCCGCTAAGTCGAAAATAAAATATGGGCAAAAACCCTCTTACACTACTTTTTTAGACAATAATCATAAGATTAAAAAAATCGTAAAATTATACAAATTTAATTAATTGTAAATCATAAAATAATTTGTTTACAGTATATACAACTATAAAGCTTTATAAACTCTAGTTTTTTAGTTTCGAAGCTTCGTTTAGTGCTTTTTCTTTTGTGGGACATTACATTTTCCCTATATAGCATCCAGCAGTAGTCGCCCATCATATTTTTATCCCATCGACCTTGATACCTTCTCTCCATTACTTTTATATCTTGGTGAAACCTCTCACCTTGCTCTTCACTAACTGCACCAAGATTTTACGGGATGTAATCCAAATGGGAGTTCAAAAAATGGAGTTTTAAACTCATTGAGCATCCTAGATTTTTAAAATTGCACAACATATTTTCTACAATATTTTTAAAGTCCAAATCTTTCTGATTCCCTAAAAACTTTGTAACTACGTCTTTAAAAGAACTCCAAGCTGACCTCTCAACATAGTTCATCACATTTTCGAAGTTGTTATCTTTCATTAGCTTAAAAATGTCAGGACCAACAAAAACTCCCTCCTTCAGCTTTGCTTCAGACAGACCAGGAAACTTGCTTGAAAGGCATTTAAAATTTCTCACCATCTTTTAGCAATGCCTTCACAAGTTGCTTCATCATGCCAAGTTTGATATGGAGTGATGGTAGAAGGACCTTTTTAGGATCAACCAAAGATTCAAAGTGCACGTTTTTCTCTCTGACATTCAATATTCTTTTCGGCCACACTTTCTGGTTCCAGTGTTTAGTTTTAGCACGACTATCCCATTCACAAAGAAAACAGGGAAATTTTGTGTAACCACCTTGCTGTTCAAGTATTATAGAAATTACTTTAAGATCCCCACAAACTGTCCACTCGAATTCTTTGTACCTAAATTTATCCAAGATCAATGCCAAATTACAATAAGTTTCCTTCAGATGCACTGAGTGATCAATGGGTATTGATGCGTATTTATTGTAGTTGTGAAGTAAAACAGCTTTTATACTTCTTTTCGAAGAATCAATAAACAGTCTCCAATTTTCAGCAATATGTTGAACTTTGAACATGGACATTAAACCATTGATATCGGAACAATAGACCAGCTCACCATATTGAGAAAAATAAAGCTCAAAATATTTTTCTCTATTACTATACCATGCAAAATAAGTTCCAAGTGTCAATAAATTTTTCTCTTGCAGTCTAGATCCTAGTAACTCAGCAGATTGTTTTGAGAGTCCTAAATCTCGGATCAGGTCATTTAATTCAGCTTGAGAAAATTGTTGAGGACTACTGGAGTCGCCTACTTGAAACTCGTCGCTAGAACTTTCTTCTGATTCACTTTCTAATGATGGTAAATCGTCTAGGCTTTGGGGTTCTTGTGGTGTAGGGATGCCAGGTCCGTGAGAGACTGGGCGGAGTGCCGATTCCATGTTTGGATAAAAAATTTGTGTTTTATTTTTGATACTATACCCCTGCGCATTGCACAAACAAAAGTAGAAGTCATCGCTGTGGTTTCAAGGCTCTCTCCAGATCGTGGGAACACCAAAACGAAAAGATTTAACTTTACCTATTGACCACAATCTAAGTCCTTCAACACACCCTGAACAAACTCCATGCGGAGCCCAAGATTTGTTCTGATCGCCTATCTTCACACCAAAATACGCAAAAAAAACTTTTTTAACAAATTCAATATTATTTCTTTGTTATTTTTTTACTACAAATTCACCACAAATATAACAAAAACTCTCAGAAAAATTTACACAACCTCTTGAAGTCATTTTTGAAATGGACGTTACGAAAGTTGGAACAGAAATAAATAAATGAAAGGCAAATTCCTTGAGAATTTCGGCATTTGTATATATCGGAATTTTCCATACTACTAAGGAAAATCTCGATATATATATGTTTCAACGCTGACTAATATTATCTTCATGAGTTACTAAATGTTTTGTTTCAGCCTACGAAACATAAAATTATCTTATAATAAATTAATAAAATAATAAATATTTTGGCAATAAACCCCGTTTTGCGCCCTAAAATAGGCAATCCCACAGCATTTTGCATTTTTTAGAAAAACCTTACGTGATGGAATTTTTTTACACATATTCATATTTTGTTAATATTTAAATGTGCGTTTGCCTAACATGAATTAAAATGAGAAGCTATGCAAAAATTTTAAGCGGATTAGTTTTTATTTTTAGGTTTCTTTATTTTTAACAAATATGATGCACATTTTTCTTTTAAATTTCTTGTCACAATTTTAAAGTCATAATTTTAATTTTTAGAGTTTTGAACTTGTGAATGAAAAAGGTGACCTAAATGATGAGGACAATCAGCAATGGGAGAAAGAGATAGAGGATATGTTGCAAATTGGTCAGTAATCAAGTTGATTGTAATGTCATTTAATTCGAAAAGGTTGCAACAACATTTTTTAATAATATAATTTTCTATTCTCTCCATATTGTAAACATCACTCTTATTGTAAACATCTCTCTTATCGTAAACACTATATCCCACAATGAAAGCATTATTTCCCAAATAATTTTAGCATTGGGTGTGTTGTAGAAGCAGTGCATATAAATAAAAATTTGTTTGTTATCTTTTAAAATTTTGTTGATTAAGAATTTTTAAAAATTTTAATGAAATTTTTTTTTCGTTATTTTATATGTTTAGTTTTGAATAATCTGTTTTTTTAAAACAATTCTCAAAGAATCGTTAATGGTGTTATTGCTAAAACGTATATCTTGTTTGTAGATGGGTTATTTCATGTGTAAATTGGTTTTTTGGTTTGTAAATATTAGAAATATAGTAATCTTAAATATTGACGTGGTATTTAATTGATTGAGCTTGGGCGTTGTACAATAAGGTGTGTAGTAGGGCGTGTTCTATTTACAATTTAAAGTAGAAAATCCGTGTCGAATTTTTTTTCTGCCTCCTCAGGACTATTCATTATTTGAATTTCCTTTGAATTCGTAAATTTGAAAATTTACTAAAAAAAGATAACGATATGTAGCTATTAACTTATAATTATATCACGATAATTTAAGTACCAAATATTTGACTAGACGCTCAACCGAAGCATCAAATATTCAGCTGCTGAACACAGTTATTTTGAGGATTCCAACCTGCTTTGTCGAAGTGCATATGTCAACTAGAATCTAGGCGTTTTTGTTTCATTTATAACAAATTTTTTAACTATAGTAATGTATAAAATATTTTTCAAATCAGCTAGTAGTATTAGTATCGAAAACAGCCAAACTGAATATTACGGAATAATATTGAAATAGAGAATAAAACCAAAATTTTAAAAAAAAGGAATTGTATCTAAAATCCGAATATCAGAATAAGATCGAAATAGCTCAAAAGTTTGAAATGGGACTTTCTGGATTATTATCAATATAGAGAATAAACTAAAAAGAAAATTAATTGATAGAATGCCTGCCCAAACCAAACCCTCAGTTGATGTAGCAGCACTCCTTGCATGTTCAACCTATTTGTCAGCCAATGTAGCAGCAATCCTCGCATGTTTTTTTTCGATACTATTCCTAAATTCGATATTCCGTTTAGGCATTTTCGATATTATTCCTTCTAAATGAATTTCAATTTATTGAGTTAATTCCTTAAAATTATTTTTCAAGATTAATCCCAAAAAAACGTTTCGATCAAATAAATTCCGATATTAATCCATTTTTCGATCAATTTTTTTTCGATACTATTCTGCTTTCCCTTTTAGCCATTTTTAAAAAATTTAAAAAAACTAGCGCATGTATATCTTGAATTTTTGAGATAATTTCAGAAGATTCTAAAGATAAATACAGCACAAAGAACTTCAAACTTATTAAAATATATATCTTCACTTTACAATCTGAACCTAAAGCATGGCTTACCTTTAATAGGAATGTCAATTAGACGGTTGCCTTTTTTTTTTGATTCCCGTTTTTATAACTGATTTTGAGGAATTAGTTAAAACACAAGAAGCAAAAAAAAAAAATTATAATGCTCTGAAAAAGATTAAGTCCGTTAATCTTTCTAAGTGAAAGGCTGCTTGACACCGATGAAATATCACCGGCGCATAGTAGCACTAGTGATGATTTATCTCCAAAAAAATGTAAATGAAAGCGATCAAACCAATTTCTACAGAAAACATTCATATAAATAAAAATTTGAAACATTTGAAGATTTGACTTTTACACGAAACTGTTTCCTTAAATTGAACAGCAAACTCTCTCGTATAAATGATGGTCAGCAAGCTCGTATAAATGATGGTCAGCAAACTCGTATAAATGATGGTCAGCAAACGCAAAAGATTATTCTAACGGAACGTGTTAAAGTTTTCTTATTATTTGCAGGTAGCAGTGTACATAATCAATAGGTATTTTGGAAGTAAGTATAATCTATTTCGTTACAATCTGGTATTTGGCCAAATAGTTTGCAATATTCGCTGAATACCGAACTGTAAAAAAGGAGCTCAAAATGTAGAATACCAAATATTGACGTATCTCTAGTTTAAAGTTCAGTTATTATCAAAAAAACTTTTTAATTATAAAGTGCTAAAACAAAAATAGCTTGAATCTAGAATAAGAGAGCGATGCTTTTGATGTCCAACAACACGCAAATATTCAGTTAATAATGCTTTTTATGTAAAATGCAAATATTTTAAGGCTATTCTTTAAAAGATCGGCAACCGCCGAAGGATCGTGTAATGCAGAATATTGCGTTGCAGAAAGACTAAATAACTTCGATATCGACCTCCAAAAAGACATTATCGCCATGACCACTGATGGAGCAAGTGTGATGGTGAAAGTCGGTAAAATGATGTCTTGCTATCATCAACTATGTTATGCTCATGGAGTACAACTTGCAGTTATTGATATCTTATACAAGAAAAACAACGGAAAAGTCGAAGAATCGTTTACTACAAATGAAAATTACAAAGAAGAAGATGAATATGAGAACACTGATGATGATGATGATGATGATGATGATGATGATGAAGTTATAAATAAAGAATATGGTTTGACAATAATTTTGGACCGACCATCTGCTGAATTGGTTAACAATTACAAAGATCTCATGAAAAAAGTGAGAAAGGTTGTGAAAATATTTAAAAACTCTCCTGGCAAAAATGATACATATTTACAGAAGTGTATCCTACATAAACACGGCAAAAAGCCTAAGTTGATTCTTAATTGTAAAACTAGGTGAAACAGTATGTTCGATATGTTAGAAAGGTTTCATAGACTAAAAGTGTGTATTGAAAAAGCCTTAATTGATGTTGGGTCAGAAATTCGTTTCACCCAAGAATAATGGTCTCAAATCAATGACTTAATTATTTGCATGGCGCCACTAAAACTTGGTCTCGAACTATTATGTAGGAGAGAATCGAACCTTGTCACTAAAAAACGTTTCAATATATGTTAGATAAATTACAAAAGCAATCATCACTTTTGAGCATTGATTTAGCCGCGGCACTTTGTGAGAGGTTTACACAACGTCGTAATAAGAACTTTAATGGACTACTGTTTTACTTACAAAATCCTAAAAAATATGAACAAGAAATTTAAAAAAATGAAAATACTTTTTCAATGCCAAAGAGAATCGTTATGCGTCAAGAAATAAAAAAAACATTGATAAGAGTTTATACAATTAAAACAAATAAAGAATTAGAAAAGAATTAAAAAATTATATACGGAAAGACAAGAAAAGCTGGGCAGAAAATGTAAAGGAGATACCAAATTTAGATTCTTTAGACTATGATAAATTATTGAAGCAGGAAATGTCTTTCTATAAAATTAATGGAGTAAGAGGCAAGTTTACAGATATAGCTCATAATTACTTGATGACTATATCACAAATAAGCATAGAGGTTGAGCGAGCTTTTTCAGCTGCTGGCTATATATGCATTCCTTTGAGGAGTAGATTATGTGATGATACTTTAAGTAGGGTCTGTCTATTAAGAGCGCATTTCTTACAATAATTTTCTCATATTTAATATTTTTAAAAATAAGAAAAGCTAAAAGACGCCCTACGTAAAGCTAAAAGACGTTTTACGTAATTTTATCTTATCTATTTGTTCATTAAATGTTATATTGATTTACAAATGAATTGTGTTTTTGGCTTCATTTACCTCATCTTATCAATTTAATAAGTTTATTTTTTCTAAAATACTTGAAAGAAAAATACAAATTTCATTTTGACTTTTTTAACGTGCATAAGAGATCTACCACTCCCGCGAAATCCCGCGGGATCCGCACATAAATTAAAATATCCACGCGGATCCCGCGGGATTGAAAAGTGTGCGGGATTGCAGTCCCTAGCAACCACTGAAGTGTTTTGAGTCATAAAACTCCTTAAAAAAAATTTTATTAAAAAAAAAATAATTTTAGCGAAAAAAAAAAAAAAAATTATATTTAGAGAAGCAACCCAATTATACTATTTCATTAACAAAAAGCATATAGCCTATATGCTTTTTGTCCTATAATATAGGATATGAATTTTCGGATAAAAAAAAAATATATTTCTAACTGTAGCAAAATGTTCTAAAACCAAGTATTTAAGCTTTGAAGAAATTTTTAAAATAGTGTATTAAAAACTCATTTAGTCACTTAAACCTTCTTTAAATTAAAAACTTTTAACAGTATTGTACAACTTTTAGTTCCAATCGAACAACTAGATGCAATAAACATTTGTTCAACATTTTATTCAAATCTGACGTACGGTTTTTAAGATAGGATGGCCGCGAGGTTAAAGATTAACAATTTAAGAAAAATGCATTTAAATATTATATTCACATAGATTATTCACAAAAATCTTTTTTTGATTGTTGTTGTTCTTTTTATTACATTTTAAAAGAGGATTTCGTTATTTAAAATAAAAATGTATAATATTGATTAAAATAAAGATGTATAAGTGATGATCGTTGTTAAAAAAGGTCATGTCGACGAGATCCGCTGGAAAGAAACTGAGGATGAATTTGTTTTACATTTAAACATAAACAAAGAATATAAAAAAGGTTGAACTCATATATATTAAATACTTCATTACAAATAATAGCGGGTTGACATGAGTATAACGGTTTATAAAATATATAAGAAGTGCTACATGCTTCTGCCGACAATAAAGAAGTTTAAGTTTAACTTTATAATTACACCTAAGAGCTTCCATAGTAGTTTTGTAAAGTTTAAAGAGCTTCCATAGTAGTTTTGTAAACGGTTATTAGCAATTATAGCATTTGCTAATATGTAAAACTTGTGTTTGATATCATTAAATATTCGTTATTCACATTTTAAAACTTTCTCTTAAATCAGCTATTGTTCCGGATTAGCCCGAATCACACCAATTTTTCTGGTGGGAAGGATTTGAATGTTTACAAATACAGACCAGTTTCTATTTTGCCTAGCTTGTGTAAATTACATAAGCATATAATGTATAACAGACTTAATGATCATGTAACAAAAAATAACATGTTGCACAAAAAAACTTTTTTTTTCAAAAAAAATATATTTAATTGAACTAAGTAATCGAATTAATCAATGACGCTTTAAATAATCATTACGTTCTAATTACTTTTAAATAATGAGAAAAATAAAGATTATTTCTAATTTATTTATGAAATAATCATTAGGGATGGCAATCCTGGGATACTGAAATCCCGGTATTTTGTACAAATTGTTCATATTTTAATACCGGGACCCACTGCCCTCCAATCTTATATGCACCATTTGCAGACCTCTCTTCCCCTCCGAGCGTACGTACTTTATGGACGATCCCTTAATTAATAAAGTTATCAAAAAACAGGTTTATTAAATTACAAAATTTTCT